CATGCCGTGGGGATAAGCTTCTATATTGTTCACGCCGCGGAGGTGGATTTCTACGCCGTTCATACTGTGGGGATGGACTCCTACGCCGTTCACGCCGCGGAGATGGACTTCTACGTCGTTCATACCGTGGGGATGGACTCCTATGCCGCTCGCGCCGCGGAGATGGACTTTTGCGTCGTTCACGCCGTGGAGATGGACTTCTATACCAGTCATGCCATGGGGATGGACTCCTGTGTCGTTCGTGATATCCCGCGGGTGGAGGTAGTGAGTAATCTTTCGCGTGCTGAGATAAGGGCCTCCTCCTCCAATCATTCACACCTCCAAGAGAAGGTTGAGTCTGGAGGGGTAGGGATAATTCCCCCTCCAATTGAGGGGGATGCTTTGGCTCCTTCTTTGCGTCTTTTGCAACACTGAATGTGTAGTCAGGGTATAAATCATCAAGCGACAATACACCACCGGCCATTTGTACTGTTGCTTTCTTTCCTTTTGATGCCATTCTGTATTCCTTTGGTCGTACCCCTAGTTCCTTTGGACGTGCTTCTTCCCGTGTAGCCGTTTCTTCCTCTTTGGTAGCTGCTTCTTCTCTTCCAATCGCTCCTTCCTCAGTCACAACCACTTCTTCCTCTCTCGCAGTCATGCCTTCATCACTTGCTGTCGCGCCTTCATCACTTGCTCTTGCTCCTTCTCCCATTGCTGCCGCTCCTTCGTCCACTACGTCCTCTGTTCCTTCTTCTTCTCTTTCTTCTGTGCGTTCTAGTTGCGGAGATGGGTCCGTAAGTTCCTTGATCTCCCTTACCCACGTCTTCTTCTTCTTTATAGGGGCAATGATGACCTTCCGGTTCTTAGCTTGGGTCCCGGTTCTAGTGGACTTAGTAGAAATGGCATTGACTTCAGGTTGTGTTTGGACCCCAACTTCTGTGGACCTAATAGGGACATCACTGGTTTCAAGTGGCGTGGTTTGGGTCTCTGTGTCGACCTTAACCCTCTGAAGGTGGTCTATGGCAGCTCGATAAGCATTAGCCAGGCCCCAGCACAAAGCGGAGAATTGCATATTCGGGTCTTTGTAGGAAAAGCACCCTTCTGCCAAACAGTGGGCCATCTCACCAGAATCAAACATTTGTTCTGGTGTGAACTCCCAATTAATGGGGGGTGACACATGTCCTACTAATCTACCGAAATCTTCCCAAGCTCCATGCCACCCGGAGACTGGCCTGTCTGCAACCCTCTCCAAAGTTCCAGCGAGTCCCTTTGAGGTATGATCTTTCCTACAAGAGGGAAAACAACGGAACCCCATTCTTCCAAGTTTAAGGAGCACTTCCAGTACCTTTATCAATGACAGTATGGTTGCGATGAGATTTACATAGTAATTAGAGCCGATTTTTACCATGGGGATCTCCTTTACCAAACCTTCGATGTCAAAATTAAAGGATGGAAGCAATTCGTTCCATCCATCCTCAAGGTCTGGACGTCTCCCTATAGAATAGCCTAACACAGGTGTAAAGGTGGCTAGAATTATAAGACCAATTAATGAAATAGCCATTGTTTTTGTTATTATTTCTTCCTGATCCCAAAACAAACTTTGTTTATATAAACAAAGTTTCCTTGGCTGCTTTCCCAGACTCTGGCAGTGTTCCCAGACCTGTTCCCAAAACAATAGATCGGTTTGCAAAACAACACTGAGCTTGGCTGTCTTCCCGGAGAATGCTTATCAAAACAAGCCAAGCTTAACCAAAACAACCATCCTCTGCTACCAGAAAAGTTGTACAAGTTTCGAGCTGGCTTCCCACCAAGTCCCCAAAACTCGACAACAAGGACCCGCCTCCCAGAGAGGGAAAAGAGGGAAAAAAAAAACCAAAAACTAAGCAGCCAAAGCTATAGCAAATATATATATATATATATATATTTTACATATGAGACAGATACACAAAAGGAAAATACCACACACCTGGGGGGGAGGGGGAAGGGGGAGGGAAAGGGAGAGAGACAAAAAGGGGCAAGGACCGAGCAAGTCAAACAGCCAACCGAAGGCAAACTAGCAGAAATCTCACCACTTCCCTTCGAACAGGCAAAATGACTTGACGCAGCCCAAGGTTCTCCTCTCACGCGAAGCGGATAGCGGCAGTCACTGTAGGCCTCGGCTCCAGATAAGCTCAACCGAAACAGGGACCCACCGTTCTCGAACCTCGCCGGAGAGGAAGAGGGCGCGATCCCTCCCACTGGCTTTATTTATACCTCCAGTTACGTAAAGGAATAGCATGGAATACTTTCGTGATCACTTTTCTAGTTCCTTCCTGGTTACAAGTTGGTCTCCAGGAAGGCCTAGAGTGAAACCACCACACTCACCATGTCCAACCCAGCACTAACCCAACTGCTCACTTCGCCACCAGTCTGACCAGAAGGGACCCATCCCCCTCCACTCCCTGCGTGTGTGTCATGAGGTGCTATAGAATAACCTCAGGGTCCTAGCCACGCCCCTCCTGCCTACTGCAAAAATTAATCCTGTCTTGGTTGGAACCAGGACAGGACATCATGCTCTTATCACACCGTGACTGGTTACATGTTCCCAAGAAACACTTTGAGACTGTCTGGAGATATGAGATATATTATTTATCCTACACTCATGCTATGAAGACCTGAATATGAAGCCATTTATTATTGCACATGTTGCTGCAGTATAAATCAGTCCACTGGGTCTGGTGGTAGGGGTGGAAATGCTGGGGCAAGAGAAGAAAGTAAGTTGGAAAAGTCCTCCCTAACCCATTGTCCTCAATTTTTGGATAACACCCTGCTGCTCCCTGGTCATCGCTTCTGGACTTTATTTTGGACTTCTTGGCATTGCTCAGTCAAATGGGAGAAGACACAAGAGTGACCTGGTACGGGAAGAGTGGGATGCATGGAGGGTTTAGAGCTCCCTCCAGCCCCTTGCTATTAAATCTGAGACTAATGCTGACCTCTATTTGTCTCATCCTGCTTTACAATTGCTCTGGAAATAAATCAATTGGGAAAAAAATCACCTCCTGGTACAGGCGATGGGCAGATGTGTGTGTTGCCCAAGGTCTTTGCAGGGGAGAGTGGAGAAGAAGCAGGCACAGGGAGAGATGCTGAGTTTGATACGCAACCAGAGTGATGAGAGAAGCAAAACGGGACCAATGACTTTTTCCAAAATTATCTTAGGTTATGTTAAATATTGATTTTCATTATTTTATTTTGTTTCTTATTTCCCTGTTTGCTGTGTTGCCCAAAAGCCAACTCAAGGTACAGGCAAAAGGGCACAGCATCCAAGGGATATCACAGAGAAATTAAATGAGAACTTTATATGCCCCACAGATGGCATGTGTGTGTGAGGGAATGGCCAAATGGAGACACATATTAAATTAAGGATAGAAATTCATGGTTTCAACTCTACATATCCTGTCTCCAGAGAGGCAGAAAGAGGTCCATGTGACACCCTCCTCAGAGAGTTCCCCTTTGATGATGGTGTCAGAGACTGAAATGGTTAATGATTTATTCATTCTAGGATTGCCAGGAGACTTTTGCAGGCTTTTGCAGGACTTATGCATTATACCTCTGATGGGAAGCTAGGTTCATCTCTCCCTCCAGTGCTGCTGAAGGTGTCAAGCCCTGAAAAGGCGAGAAGAGTCGAGTTTACCATGCCCTCCACACGGACTCTGCGCTGGGCTGTCCAAGACATTGGGGGTTTGTGGCATGCCCATCCCCCTCTCTGCCAATCTTGAAAGGTGGGAAAAATGTTGGGGCTTCGTGGCATGGCCCATGACACTATTCCATGGAAAACTCCCCGCCCCAGGGGAGGTGCAAAAAGCGTTCTGGAAGTATATATCAACTGGTAACTTCTTTGGGGGTTTGGGTTTTTCTTCTTCCCCACCGCCAGCGAATCGAGACCATCGCTTTTAGGATTACCAAGTTCCATTGCTGGATCCAGTGGGAGGTGACTATATACATTTTTCCACTCGCATCTTTTCTTTTTCCTTACTCCCCTTTACCCTTATCTTGTCTTTCTTTCCCTTATGCATTTTCCCCCAAAGGTTATCTTTATGCCATATTGCTATAGATGATATAGATGATAACACCCAAAATGCTAACATACCTGTTTACCTTTGAAACAAAATTGTTCTAAAATAAACCCTACATATATATGTTTTCAAACACCGATTATTCAGTGTCGTTTCACTCTAATCCACCCCAAGGGAATTATTAATAAGAACCTGGGTTACCCTCTCCCTTTTCTGGGGCAGGTCGTAACAGATGGCACTACAGTAAAACATGCTCCCCCCATCAGATCGTGGGCAGTTGAGGACAATCCTGTTTCCCCATCATCCACCATTATCATAGAATCACCTAGGTTGGAAAAGACCTCCGAGATCATCAAGTCCAACCATTAAGTTCATGGACCAGTTATCAGAGCCACTGCTTTTTTCTCCCCCATAGCTTTATTGTCACTGATGGTTTTGGAGCAAACAATCAACCAGTGCTGCATATGCCAATAAACAAGTCACCCAGAATAATTAGCAAATGCCCAAATTATTTCAGTCTGTGTTGCAATCAGAAACCATGACCAAGACCTTCAGCCAGGCAATGCAACCAACAGCCTACTCAGGGAACATGACTTAACTTGGTGTCTCTGGTGCTGAGATGGACCCTCCAGTGTAAGACCCTCCAAGTTCACTTCTCTTCATGCCATGGGGATGCTGCCACAAGCAACCCACTCATTTCATGGATAGGCCCCGGTGTGAGATACCATAATTACATGTACAGTTCAGGAAATGGGAATGAAGAGCAACTTGACAATGCCCTCAGTGCCACATTATCTATGGTAACCATTAAAGATGTGCACAGACAAAATTGCGGGTACACTTCTGTTCTCCTCTCATCAACTGGGTTCAAAAGAAATTTGATAGCAGCTCAGCTCCTGTCCAAATGCATGGTAAGACAAAAGCAGGGTGAAGCTGCAGATATCTAACCAACTAATTTTATCTCATTACCTGCAACATGTTGAGGAGCAGACTCCGGAATTTAGTTCCCTCCACCATGAAGAGGGTCATTTTGTCACAGAGTTTGGTTGCCATGGAAGCAAAGCTGTGGTCCATCACTGCTTTCTGGTATATGGTCTTTATATCCCCCAGCATCTCCTCAGAGTTGGTAGAGTTCTGGGCCTCCTCCATGAATGTGGTGAGCTTGGAGTCAATGTCACCGCTGTTGTTCCTCATGCTGTTGAGAATTTCAATTAATTTGTCCATTTTATTCTTTTCAGAATTGGTGGTTTCCACTATGACTTTGTCCTGGTCCGTGAAAAGGGAAAGACAAGGTATCTGTTACACAAGGAAAAAACAGACATATCAACCTTTGTCCTTCCACAAACAGCAAAGGGGGAAGGGGATTGGAGAAACATATAAACAGACATAGAAAAACCAAAACATCTTTTAGCAACACAATGGTATAATCTCAGCATTGAAAACCAAAGTGAATGAATCCTGTCCCAGAAATTCTCTCTTTCTCCATTTCCCACAGCACTCAATCCCAAAGTCTTCCCCCTCAGGGAGAAGATTTCCTCAAGGGTCCTGAGCTAGGATGCCAAAGTCCAACCACCCCCGCCTGTCTTTGACATCTTGGACCAGTTTCTGGGGGTGTCTGCAACATGGTGATAATGGACCTTTTTTTGCCTCTATTTTGAAAGTGCACTGATGTTTGCAAAATGTTCAGATAACAATCCTACAAAAATGTCTACTTTTTAATATATATTTAATGATTTAAATTGAGATTAAAGAGTCACACGATCCCAGTATTTGAAAAACTCTTAACTGTCCCATCTCTTGGCTGTTACACTTTTCCCTTCACATCATTACCATAGAATTTATTGTTTCTTTTCAACATTTAATTATGCATTTGCCCTTTTCCCCCAGTGTAAGGCATGCATCCTGCTTGCTCTGGTCTGCTTCCTTCTCCTCCTCTAGTTCAATCTTAAAACATGCTATATAATACAAAATTGTAACAATTTTTCAGACAACCCCAATGCCAAATAGCAGTTGGAGTTGTCCAAAACTCCCATCAGGAGGCCAGTTGTGTTGACAAACATCTACCCAAGAGTGGGTGCTTATGTGATGTGTTTCTTATAACACTATAAATTCACAGGAAGAGCATTAAAATGAATACTCTGAAAGTCTCTACTATACTCCCATTGTTTTAAAGAACATAAAAACAACTAACATAATCTCTTCTTCCCCACATGCATAAATAACAAATGCACATGCATTCAAAGGTATACATTTCCAACATGTAATTGTATATGTTCAGGCTATTTTTCCTACTTATTTTGGAAATCTCATTGAAGATACCCCCATGGATGCATTTTCTAGTCTGACAAAAGAATCTCAAGAGAAAGAATCTGAGTTTCACAGGGGGTAAATGGAGATATCTCCAAATTCCTCAGAAATCTGAGGCTGAATATTGTTTCGAAAAAGTAATTCTCTTCTGCCACTTGCGTACAATAGTTTTGTTATTGTTAGGTTATTGGAAGGAAGTGGGAAAGATAAGGTCATTTCAATTCATTGCTGAGATAAATGGATATTAACTTTGAAGTATCTGACTCCAAGTATTCAACACTCAAAAGTCAAAGTTTGGGATTTAGCTCTGTAATTGTGGAGAGATGAATTGCCTTTTTTAGACCTCTTTGCAAAGTCAATGAGCTCTGCAGACTGGGAGGGAGTTAGTTGGAAGGAGTGCCCACATTGTAGTCCACATATGAACCAGCTTTCCCCAAGGGTATGCAGGGGGAGAGTTCCCAGTCCTTGAAGAACTCAAGCTGGTAGCAACCAAGAAGTCAAGCTAAGAGCCTTAATTATGTCAATAAAAGACCTCCCAAAGAAGCATGAAGACACGTCGAGAGAAGTGTTGACACTGGGAGATTAAGATAAGTTGGGTGCATTGATGGAAAGGTCCCTTGAGCCCACCTCACACTTTGCATGGAGAATGGTCAACAGCCAGACTCTTGGAAAAAGGGAAACTCAACGTTTTCCTAAGAAATAATACCTTTTCTTTCAACCCGTCTTTGGAAGACTGAAGTAAATTGATCTTAGGTCTTTCCCCAATGCGCTCATGAATACTGCCTTTCTGCTTGATCTCTGACTCTTGGATGTAATGCTGAGACTGCTTCTTCACAACCTCTGGGCCTTGGTGCATCTCCAAGGGAATGTGCACCGTATAGATGGAGGTGTCCTCGATTTTGAAATTCTCTGTCTCTTTGGCATTTCTGTGTGCTTCTTTGTCACTGAGTGAGTGCTTCTGGTTGTGGTGCCATCTCTGGTTCTGACTGTAGCCGGGGTGGCCTGTCCTGCCTGAAGAGTGAGGGGCCTGGACTCCTTGGTAGAGTTTCTGGTGGTCCCTGTTGTGTTTGGTGCCACCTTGCTGATGATCTGTGTGCTGCTGAGACTTGTTCCCATCAGGAAGTCTCTGCTGTGGCCTGGAAAGTCAAAGAAAGCCATTAGTTCACCCTTTTCTTCATAGTCCTGTTTGGTCAACACATCTGTCCCACCAAACAGTCTGGTCCTTGGCAGGTGGGCTCTGTGGGTCTCCCTACCACAAAAGGGGATCCAATTTCTTGACATCTAATACAACCTCACACCTCTAAATATCTTTCAGCAACAGGGATGTTTTAGCTGAAAGTTTTCATGAACAGTTAGATAACATTACTTAGGTTCCCAGGAAAATTTCTCCCAGGTTTCTGTGTTTTCTGTGTTGCTTCCACACTGAACCAGGAAAGATCTGGTTAGTTGCAGCTGAGCAACGGGAAGTCAGGCAGGCAAGAAATATCAGGAGACATTTTTTCTGAAGACCTAAGGACCTCTTGATACACCTGGTCTACAGCATCATTTGGAGGAACTGCCTGCAAATGTCTTGCTCAAGAGACTATAGTGGCTCAGAAGGGGAAAGTAAGTGTCGCGGTCCAAAAGGGGGACAGGACACCAGAAAGGGTGCAAGCAGACTTGTTTATTCAGGCGTGCTCCTGATTCTTAACCATCCCGCCAGGGAAAAAGGGGCAGAACATAGGGTGGGCTATCAGACAGACAAACAGGGGAGCAAATCAGAACAGGGCACAGGCAAAAGGGGGAGGAGTGGGGGAAACAGGGAGCAGGCAATCTCATGGTAGGCCTGGGCATGTGCAGTTGTGCACTGCACAGCATGAATACAATGAAACCACACAGTAACAGCAACGTCCATATGAAAGTCCTGCCAATTGCTGCATGCTTTTCTCCATCCTGAATCGTGTTCCGTCACATCTCACTCTTTCTTATTCTCTTGAAGCACGGCTAGAAAATATCTGTTTTGATAGTCCTCTTACAGTTCGCTGTGACATAAGAAATAGTTAGTAACAATACAAACAGAGAAAGCAAAATTTCAAAGCAAGTTAGAAAGGGTTTGTTTAAATGGACTTGGGGGAGGACCGATCTGCATCTTCCCAATCAGTTTGGACAGCTGCATTTGCTGAGTGACTCCCCCCCTAAAAATTGTTTCCAGCCCAAGATGCTACAGCTCCATGGTATCTCTATGGACTACGAGATCCTGGAAAATAAACAGAACATGTTAGAAGAGAGAATTTAGGATTGGAATCACATGGTAAGGGCATAACTTGCATAATCGGTTCATCTGAGTTAAGCTGAACTGCAGGGATTGCTGTGGTTTCCTGGCACTTGCTGAAGGGATGGGCTACGCAGGATGGAACGCGGTTGAGGGGGTGCTGCCTTGTTTCTTGACAGTTCACAGGTGCACTGTTTAAGATCTGGCATTGAATTAAAAGTCACTTTTCTTCTCAAGTCTGGTGACTTTTTCGGAGGTAGTAGTTCTCCATAGATGTTAGTAAGAGACCTGCAATTTTTTGTCCAGTGTCTGCCTTTTCCGCACCGTTTGCACGGCGTCTTTGGAAGCTCCATCTTTGTAATTAATTGTGGACAGTTCTTTTTTATATGTCCTGTCTCACCACAGTGAAAACAGGTTTGTGGTCCAGCCAAAGCTTCAGCTATTAGTCTTGCTTTATGAGAATTAGACCCCACATTACGACATGCCTTGACCATGTCCATAGGAGTAGGATCCCTAAGAGTTCTTAGTATTTGCTGGCAATCATCATTAGATTGCTCTATAGCCAACCTTAAAAATAGTGCATCCTGAGCTTCTGGGTGTTTAACTTGTTTTGCAATTGCTTTCTTCAGCCTTTCTGCAAAGTCTATGAATGGTTCTGTTGGTTTTTGTTGTACTTGTGTGTATGAAGGTGTAGGTTCAGCAGCCTCAGCAATGGTTTGAATAGTTTGGAAGGTTAGATTTTTTGAAATGTCCAATTCATTCATAGGAATCTTGGTTTGGGCCTCATTGGAAATATATGGACCCACTCCGAACAGTCTATTAAAGGTCTCCAGGACTGGAGTCCCTGTGATTGCTGAGGTTTGCTGGGCATGCTGGTGAATACGAGTTTGCCATTCATCTAGGAAAAGCGTTGCTTGCATATTAGTGAAGAAAGCACTTATTAAATCTTTTATGTCGTTTGGAGTGAACGTGTAAGCAGCAAAAAGTGAACCAAGTACCCTTATTACATAAGGTGAATTTAACCTGTAGTCAGTAATAGCTTGTTTTGTATCTTTCAGAACTGGGAGGGGGATTGGTTCCCAGACAGGGTGATTGTTGGGATGATAAAACACGGGGAATGCTTTAACCAAATTCAAATCATCAGCTGTTGACGCTTGTTCCTTTATGTAAGTCCATCTGTTCCTCTGGGCACTGGCGGGGCAGGGACAAATACATTCGCAGGGTGGTGGTACTGAAGGGGTTAAAGCGCCAACTGCTGGCACGGCGGGATAAGCAGCGCTGCCGTGGGGAGGGGGGCTGCCAGGGGCCGTGCTGTGCGCGGGGGTCGGCGCCGATGGCAGCAGGCTCAGGGGGCGGTGGGAACGCGGTGCCGGACAAGTTTCCACGGGTGGGCTAGGAGGCGGTGCCAGTGGGAGAGGCGCGAAATCCTTGCATGGCGTTTCTCCACGCTGTGTGTACTCCCGCGTTCACTCCCTGGTTTTGCCCGCGCGGTCGCTTAGCTCGTCGACGCCATGATGCAAGAACCGCTGGTATTCCGCGCTTTGTTTCTCCCTCCCGCCGTCCACGCTCTCCCCTGCCCCCCCGCCGCTCCAGGACCCTCGGGACTTGCCGCTCTCAGGGGATTTAGACTTGGATTTTTTCTCCAATTCTTGGAGATTTTCATTGGAACTGGTTATTTGGTGTTGCAGCACCATCAAAATCAATCTCCAAGCAATTAATGCTTCGGCTGCGTTTTTGTCTCCTCTAATCTTTTGTTTCCATATCTGATGTCCAATATTTTCCCAGTCCTGTATTTTTAAATCGTCCGAGACCACTTCGCTGCGGTTTTCTAGCCATTTTGCAAGCGATTTCGCAGACTTTTTATCTAAGGGGTGTCCACGTTCAATAATAAAGTCTTTTAGTTTGCTGTATACAAATTTTTGAGGGGTTGATAACCAGAGGTCCATTGCGAAATTACTTAGGTTTCTGTTAGTCTGCAGTTGGTTTTAAAGTTGATTTTGTGAGAGTGGGAGATGGGTGAGGGATCAGGAGCTTCCCCGGTGCTCACCTTTTTCGGTGCGAGGGCCGTATGCAGCAAACTGGAGTTCACTGGGAAGGACCAGCGGGACGGAAACGCCTCTCTCTGCGCCGTCCGAGCCCTCGTGGCGTGGGAGAGGTTTTCTTAAGGCAAAAACCTTCTCTGCCCGACGGTAGGCGCCATTTGTCGCGGTCCGAAAGGGGGACAGGACACCAGAAAGGGTGCAAGCAGACTTGTTTATTCAGGCGTGCGCCCGATTCTTAACCGTCCCACCAGGGAAAAAGGGGTAGAACATAGGGTGGGCTATCAGACAGACAAACAGGGGAGCAAATCAGAACAGGGCACAGGCAAAAGGGGGAGGAGTGGGGGAAACAGGGAGCAGGCAATCTCATGGTAGGCCTGGGCATGTGCAGTTGTGCACTGCGCAGCATGAATACAATGAAACCACACAGTAACAGCAACGTCCATATGAAAGTCCTGCCAATTGCTGCATGCTTTTCTCCATCCTGAATCGTGTTCCGTCACAAGCAAGCCCCCATGTGCTGGCCGTAACCAGTAGTTGAGATGATAAGTCCCAAAAAAACCCAACAGTGGAATGGAAAAAAACACTTTGGCATCCTCAGACATCTAGGTTTTCCACACAGGTTGCATCATGGCTGTCCCAAGCAGACAAGGCAGAACCAGAATGCCATCATCAAGGATGCAACTAAGAAGGAGATTGGCCTGGCATCATCTGCTTTTACCCAGAACAGTGCCGGGCCAGCCCTAAGCAGGGCAGCAGTTCCCTGCCTGCCTGCTGCCTCTTGAATCTGAGAGCACATGGGATGCTTTAATGCTCAGGTCCTTACAAGGCTGCTGGAAGCAGCATTGGAGGCTCACATGGGACTTCTCTCTAGCATCGTCCCCCGAGTCAGGGAAACAACCGTGAGCACTGCAGTGACCACAGTGGTTTGCATCTGTACTGGTTTTGTAGCCCTGCTCAGCCTCATACCTCACCCCAAACCCTCACCCCCATTTGGATAAATAGCAGAATTTATTTTAAACCCATTGCATAGCGATTTATTTTATTTTCATCATCTGCACTGCTTGCTAAAGGTGGTCAGATGAAGGAAGCAGTCATTCACAAATACATTTCAATGGTCAGTGGCTAAACAGTCTCCAACCCTGCCTACCAAAGCCATCTGCCCATAGAATCTATATTCCTTGGAATCCCCAGGAGTTAAAACCTATATTTGAGGCCAAGTGGCTCTTAAACATAAAGAGTGAGGGATCGTGTTTGGCAAACACAGGTTGAAGAGGTTTGGTGGTGGTGGCAGTGGAAGGAATTTGTGTTTAGTCTCAAACCACCAGAGCCGGTTTTCTGAGATATTCACTTGGGTTTTTTTGTTTGATTGGTTTTTGGGGGTGTTTTTGCAAGCCGAATGGAAGGGAATTTAAAAAAAAAAAAAGGAAAAAAAGAAGATGGGCAAAGTTTTCCTGTTTGCTGGAGCTTACAAGCAGTTAATGAGTACAGATTCTCCACATCACATTTTTCCTAGCATTTCTTTCCTCTCATTGATGCAATCACATAAACTGCTTTGTAAAGAGTAGCACTTATTAAATGGGGAATGTCAAAATAAAAGTTTGTTAAAACCTTTATCTGGTACTAAGTCCTCACATGCTTAAGCATATACGTTTTGCTTTCTGTGGTTTTGTTCCTCTCTTCTCTCAAACATCTAACTGTTTGGGTGCACTTCTGGCCTTGGGTTATAAGCCAGACAGGCTGCTACTGTATTTAAATGGAAAATATTGCACAGAAATTATAGAAGTTGAACACAGACACAGCTTAAATTTCAGCAGAGGTAAGGGAAAATGCCTGGAAATGAGCT